AGCTTGCACTTTGGTTACATAGGCCCCTTTTGATTTCAGGGAATAGGCCTGCTTTTGTAAACTGCAGCGTCATTAGTAAACACAAAACCCGAGAAGTTTAAAAGCAGTCACAAAATAGCACCTGTAAAACCGTCTAGAAAATGGAGTGATATAGTGGGAGCTCGGTAGAACGTAGCTTGCGGGTACAGGGTTTGCCTTAGCCCACTATATCTAGCCCCTGGCACAAGAGGCCTTGGTGTGAAAGGGAGCTAAAATTCCCCCTAGGTATACTTAAATATCCATCCACCTTAACAGAGAAACAAACTAAACCCCACGAATCAGTCCTTCTAGTTACACATTCTCACTGCTGTTCTTTCTAAAAGGCTCTGGTATCTTAAAAGCGGCAAAACAAGAGGCAGAATCTGGTGAATCCCAAAAGGCACTGTAATTATAGCACAGCAGTGAAGGAGCTGTGGAGGCTCAAGGACCAGATGAACGCCTCCAAAAATGTTCAGAAGCGACAGCTCAAAGACTGCAGCTTACTGCGGTCATTTTTCCCTGTAGTCCATTTTTTTGTTTGTTTAAATTAAAAGCTAAGCAAACAAAATACATAATTATCTGCTAACCCAAAGGTGTGTACAGCTCTTAAGTTTTGCTTATATGTAGGTATATGCATTAGGGCATATGTGGGAAATTTCGAATAGGGAAGATAATGACTAATGAATTAATTCTAGCAGAGAAGTTGAGGACAGAGGGGCACCTTTCTCTTAGCATATTCGTTTCAGGAGGAAGGGGGTCTATGTATGCATGATATTTGAATTTATTTATTTTATTTTAACCACAATTAATAAGGAACAGCTAGGGAAATGATGGATAGATGAATGCTGTTAGCAATGCTGTGACAAATAGTTTCGCCTACGTAACCGGGACACGAAAAGAAACAGTCGGTGAATTTACAAAATTGCTACTTTCTATAAAATAATAAAGTAATGTCAGTAAAACAGAGGAGATGAGGTAAAGGAGGTTATTTCTGAAAATTTGTCAATGGAGGGGGGATTGGTAGATATAAGATGGCCAGGGAGAGGGGAAACTAATTTCTGTAACAAATAACTTGTTAAGTAGTGGGGCAGGCCATTTATTAAATGAGTAACATGTCTGGGGATTGTTACATGTCATTCTGTCTTCGGTTTGTTATCTGTGTCAACAGTGTCCGCTTCCTCTTGAAGGCCTTTAGTCTTCAAGAAGGAATGCTATTACGAACATAGTAATAACAAAGCGAAGGCCACATCCAATCTAAAGTCTCAGGAAATGAGAACTGAATTTGGTGGGCTTTTTGTTCTGATGAACTCTCCTTTTTTGAACAAGGCTATGGAAAAGCTTTTTTGTGAGCTTATGGCAGCTTACTATTATGTCTCAGGTCTTTTGGAAACGTCTGTGGTGCTAACGGTATCTTTGAATGCTGGGTGATTGATTTCATGCCTGTAACGATGCAGCTTTCACTCTGCTTTCTCATGACCTGTCTTCCTCATCCATATACTTTTAAGTGGAATTTTATTTAGTAAGCCTGCTTCTCACTGGATTTAAGTTCTGTTGCTGATCGATCATCCGACTTTCCTAAAGACTATGCGTTTCACCCCCATCACGCTTTCCATCTGGGAACAGTTTAAAATTCCATGTATCATGTTTTCTTTCTCCACATTCTAGGCTGTTGGATAGCTCATCTCAACAAATAATGTTGAGGCTACACTCTGTCAGGTAACTCTTGATGTATTCGAAGTATCATAACCATCCATGTCTGGCTGAGTCAGAAAATGCTGAAATGAAACACAAACTCCTACTTCAAAAAGTTGAACTTTTTCCTCTACCTATGCTTATTAATATTTGTAGGATAGTGCTAGAATGTAGTTTCAACTCAAGCCTTCTTCCCTATAGAAGGTGCTGTGTATCTCAGTTGAGTGGCTGAAAGTTCTCTCCTTGTGTATTTTTATTAAATTCCTGCCCTTTCAGATTTAAAATGCAAAGCAAAATAGTCCTCCTACTGGAAATGGAAAAAGAAGTCTGTAGTGGTCTGCCTGACTCTTTCACTTATTATTTGGGATGTGCTTACATAACACGTCTAAGAAAACATTTCATGGAGAGCTGACCTGAAACAGTTGGGAAATGGGCAGAGAGGAGATCTCTTTCTCTTTTTATGTGAAGAACCACCTACATTAACATTTGAAGCCAAAAAGATCTTGTGAAGGAGAAAAAAAAATTGCTCGCTCCCTCAGGAATCGGTTGGACTACAGCAAACCCCTTTTCCATTAAGCACAGTCTTTTTCAGCGGAAAAACATTAATAGACAACTGCACATTGTCTAGCTTCAAATATAACAAGGCTGCATGCTGAGCTCCGCCCATCAAAGAAAATAGCCCTAAATGGGAGAGTGGGTGCTGAAGTTGGAATATGATTAGATATGCTGGTCTAAATTCAGAAATGCTGTGTAAGGTGGTCATGTAGACTCCTTAAACTTCTTTATGCTCCTGCTACCCATGTCTGTAGGAGTCTAGTTACTGCAGCCCACCTATGCTTTCTTCGATTTCTACAGCCAAATAACACACTAACTGATGTTTCTTTTTTAAAGGATAGAGCAGGAGTAAGTGAAAAATAATGGAGACTGAGTAAGTCTTCTAGGGCTAGTTTAAAATGAATTTATGAATTGCGTATCAATCCGGACTTCTAACAGAAGCGGCAGTTCCACAGGCAGTTTTTCTGAGCAAGAAGAAAATAATCTTGTCGACTAAGGTGTGCTATAAAGGCAATATTTTAAATTGTAGGTCAAGAATACTTTTGGGGAATCTTAGCTGTGAAAGTAGCAAAGCCAGATACCTGAGTAGAAAAGTATGTGTGTTGTACTATTCTGACCAAGCTGAATTCAGCCCCAGCTGCACTTGAATTGTCAAGGAAGCGTAATCCAAACTGAAAAGAGAAAATCAGGATACTTCTGTTGTGAGTGTTCTTCTTCTAAGTTTTCTTGTGTACTTAGCCTTCTTATTTTAAGAGAGAAAGATCTTTGTGCGTTAATTGGTCATCCTAATGTCTTACGAAGCCGAAAAAACTTTAGATGAACTTGCTTTGACTCTTTATTTCTGTTTTTACTATTGGCACCAGTAAGTGTTGAGCACAAGGACATCTATTCTGCTTTTAAGAAGCTGACCAGACACAAGGCATAAGATGAAACACTGCCTCAAAGAGATGCCATGGTTATCAACTTAAGGACGGTTGGCTTATTCATCCTGACTATGCAAATTTTTAACTATGCTATATGAATCGCAGTGTAATCTGAGTAAGCCGTACTGTGAGTTATGACCCTTTAATACAGGGATTTAGATTTTTGCTTGACTGCCATGGGGCACCAATTTTAGTAAAGAGTTAGCAGCAGAACACAGAGTAACTTGAGCACAGAATAATCTTGCTGCCACAGATACAGTTTAAGCTTTATCAGTCTGAATATTCTGTATTTAAATATGGTAGACATTCTGTCTTGCATGTGCCATTTAACAAGAAAAAGTGTGCAGACAGTGTATGTAGCCCACTTCTTGTAAAAGGTGGGACAAAGAACGTTTATCTGTGTTTTCCTTAGATCTATGTATGCAATCTAGTGCTGAGATAAAGTAGGCGAGGTTGATATGAATGCAAAACATCAAACAACAAGTTGTCCTTGAAGTTTCCATTATCTTCCATTGAGTTTATGTTTAATTTTTAGGAGTCTATTGTATTTCTTTGTGTTTCTTGTTTGTATTTCTTTGTTTTTATTCAGAGCTCTGCCGCAAGACATTGGAACAAAGCTGGCAAGTATATTACAATTGCTTAAGTTATACACATATTTTTATCTTTATGTGTGTATCGTCCCTTCCCTCCAGCCTTTTCATTTTGCTAGTTTAAATGATTGCCTACATGCTTCTTTGGTTACTTGGGTATATTTCATCTTCTGTCGTTCATGCTCCTTGGGGCCTGATTTGAAGCCAGTTGAAATAACCAGTTCTTTCAATTGCTTCCTATGAGGTTTTTAAATGAAAATGTGTATTGTCTTTTACAGTAGTGTAGAGTGAAAGTTGAGAATAATTTTTAAAAAATGGGGTCATCATTGCAATCACTTGGGAGAAATCTTCAAAAACAAAATGTGCGTGCTTTCACTTACGCCATCCTCAGTTAGGAATAATGCAATGGGATGCCCTGGGAAAACAAAACTGGCGTTGCCCATTGTATTTGTAAAGCGTTTGGAATATAAGGAAAAATTTGAATCCAGCAAAAGGAGGCACAGCTCCATTTCAGTAAACATTGTACAATGACCTTGCCTCTGTTTATGCTTGGTCTGACTTGCATTCTGGAAGTGCTGTAAAACACATGCTGTTACTGTTGTTCACACTGAATGACACCTTACTCCTCCAGTAGTCTCGCTATGGGCTATTTGCAGTTTGAGGAACCAAACAAGATGAGTAAGAATAGCATGTGCCCTTATAGAAGTGCCAACTGTTGCCACTTTTGATTGCATTATCTTTATAGTCAGCGCCCCGAACCCTGTTCATCTGCTACCCTGCCAGTTTCCTTTAGGCACAGCCTGACTCATTGCCTGTGTCTCCTGTGACACTGTGGTACATGGGGTCAGCTCAGCAGTATAGCTACTAGTGCTTATGGGTTGGCTAGGATAGGCGCAGCTTTTTTAGCGGCATCCCTTGGCTGGCATCCCAGGACACTGGCGCTCATGGTATCTCGCTCGGGGCTGTGAAATAGCATAGCCGTTCCTGACTTCTCATCATCCACAGTGTAGCCTGTCTCCTACTGCACTCAAAAGAGGGACTGAGGGTGAGAAGAGGCTGCTGATGACAACACCATATAAGCAAAGATAGAGAAATCATGGCCAGAACAAAGGACGAGGCAAAAGTACGTGGGAAATCAAGGTAGAGGTCAGCAGAAAAAAGCAGGATGCATTTCAGAACTCTGATAATATGATTCAAAACCCTGCAAGTCTGTGGCTGTGGCTAACCTGTTGAGCTCGTTTCCTGTTTTGTACCAGACTCTCAGACTTCCTCTCATCCCTGCTTCATATGTGTTAATTCATGCTGGGGTTTGCTCTGGAACAAACAAAGTAAAAAAACCCTGTTGGGGAAGCCTCGTTGTCAGCTAGATTATTCCTGTTGGGGTACAATCAATGCTGTAGTCTATATCCTAGTGCAGAGATGATCTGTTCCAGATGTACTCCGGTCATCCAAAGACGTCCTAGCAGGCCTTATACCCATCCAAACTCATTAGGATTAGCATGCACGTTGGAAGGGCTCATCAAGGTGTGAGAGAGAACTCTTACACCATGATGTGCTCCTATTAATGCACAGTATGAACGTGAGCTCTTCATGAGAAGCGTGAGCCTGGAAGGAATGAGGTGAGCTATTCTGCACACCTTGCAGGAGGTCACCTGCAGCACTACTGAAGACAGTATAGATGTGGCCTGAGAGACTGTGAAGATAATGCAATTATCTTCTCTGACTGACACAGTTGTTTTACTAAAATTAAGCAAATTAGGAATGAATAGAAAAAGATGCTGTGAACAACTAATCATAGGCGAATCCCTAAACAAGGTCTGCCTAACCTACCTAATGCATTGATAGAGCAGGCTTAATTTCTACGTGCTTCTTAACTATTTTCTTGCCCTGAACGTGGGACTGCATTGATTGGTGGCAGCAGGGAGAATAGGGAAACAGGATACATTCACAGAGAAGCTAAATCAAGAAAATTTGTAGATATACAGAAAATCCTTAACTCCTGGCAATGGCATCTTACAGACTGAAACAGCAGATTTGGTTGGTGCATCTGCTCCAACAGTGATAGTTGTGCTCAGCTCTGGGTTACTTTTATTTCATTCATAGCTGGTACCAAAGCTTGGAAGAACCAGTCACGTAGTTGTTGGGGGTGGCTTGGTTGGTTGTTGGTTGGTTGGTTGGTAAATCTTGGTTTACTGCAGTATTTGGAAAAGAGAATTTTTATTTGAGTTGACATGAAGAAAATTCCAGGACAATGAAGAAGAGCTTCAGTAGTTAAGTGCTTATTGTACGCGTAATAGAGCTGTAAATAAGTGACCACAGGCTCAAGTTGAAAGTATTATTCATTACTGATTAATGGTGAATGCGTTCTCCACAGGTTTCTTAGTGGATATGGCACTTCTTTAGCCTGGCTAAACAGATAAGTTTGATAAGGTACTGCAATTTTCCACATAAAACTTGAGATGATAGGTGCGAGTTCAGACAGTTTGCTGGAATAATGGAAGAGAACTCAGAATGACTTCTGGAGCGAGCAAGGGTACTATACTTTGAGCTTTGTAAGGTGTAACTTTCAGTGAATTTAACAAAAGGACAGATTGCGGGATCACTCCTGTTCTCACCAAAAGAAATGCCACTTAATTTGTGGGGAACAATGCTTTCCCTCCTCCCCCTTAGGAAAAAAAATTGATCTGAAGAAGAAGCACCTGTGTACTATCAGGAGCTTAGATTTCCTCTTGCTACATGTTATGCATGTTCTGATATGGAAATATTTGTTCATATTAAATAGGAACTGTAGTGTAACTAATTTTTAAGAGTTTTTCTACTATAAAAATCAAACTTAAATTTATTTCAGATAATGAAGGACAGTCAATGTGTTTTCTTTTACCTTATTCCATATTGGACTTAAAAATTTCTTCTTATTCCCCAAATACGTTGTCATTTAACTTAGTGACAAACAGTAGAGGTTTAGCATGCTTTTTCCAGTTTGTCTGGGCTAGTGTTTTCCTTCTTAGACCGTTATGCTTCTGCTATGTCTCCACTGAGATATGTTTCGTAGCTTCATTGCAGCTTGTTAGTAGTAAAGAGGGAAAAAGAGTGTAACATGATGTATACTTTTGCTAGAGACGCTGTGTGAAAAAAAACATAAATGAAAAATTGAGCTCATGGGAAATAATAACCTTACAGAGGAAGCTTGACTGGTATGTGATGGACAGTTTGGCTTGCTGGAAGATTCATTGTGCAGGATAGAAGGAAGAAGCTAAGAACACGCCTGTGTGCCTTGAGCATTGGTTTATGATGACCTTTGTTGACCCAAGGGTTGGCAGGATGAAGGAGGTGTCCACATATGTTGCCTGAGAACTGTGTAGCAGGTTTCCAGTAGATTCTTATTCTAATTTTCAAACAGATTTCTTTGTATTTTTTTCCTGAACTAAGTAGACAAATCACAGCTTCCCATCTATGTGTTTAAAAATAATTCCTCTCTGATCATTTTTAACAGCAAAGTTCTCTAGCTGAAGATTGTATGCCCGAGCTGACTGACAGAAAAATTCTAGCTCTTTTTGGCAAAGATAATTTTCTTAAATAATATTTTTATTTCTTGCAAAACCAGTAGTTTTGAATCTCATTTTTCACTACAGGGTGTGCTGATTGATTAAAAAAATATTCTGCCTGAAGGCAGAAAAACAGTGATCTACCCTGCAGTCTTCCTAATGCCCTGATTTAACCATATTCTTATACTAAATATAACAAGTCTCTTCATCTGTGGAACCTGGCAAATGAGGGCCAGGATGCAGTATGAACTAAGTGGAGCTCCTAGAAGAAGAGCCACTTGATTTTTGTTTTTTTTCCTTCCCTCTTCTGCTACTTTTAAAGAAAGGAAAGGTATAGTTTTCTTTTTGCACCTTCAGACTCGGTATGTTGAGGGTTTCCACGCTTTCAGTAGCTTTAAGGCATCCAACATCCTCCAAAGGTATGTTCTGTACCAAGTCGCTTTTGTAGAGAAGTACCAAATTGGGTTTCATTTTATTAGCTTAATTTCAGAGATACATCTGTCACTTTTTTTTTTTGTTTGTGTCCCAGATCTTGCTATTTTGTGTAGGCATCATTGTGAGCACTTTGCTGAGTGTCTTTCCAGTCTTGTCTTCTACAGCGTTCCAAGGAGGGAAATGGTTGGTGTTTTGAGCTCCTGGGGTGAGATGGGATCTGACATGAGATGTGAGTCTCATGTCAGGACATGAAATGAGACCTGTTCTAAAGTCAATTTGGAAGCTGTTACTGAAACTGAAGAGAGAATAAAGAAGAATATATCCTCCCTTTTCACCTTCTTCCTCCTCTCTTGGACTGGTTGCCATCTCAGGGACGAGGAGATTCATCAAGAGACAGAACACTGCTGTTAGGGGAGTGGACAAGGTCTTGCCAACACCACTGATAGGGTTCTAGTAGGTGGTTGTTTCCTCAGTCTCCCTGCAAGAGGATCAAGTTTGGAGCACCTGCTGCATTAACTTCAATACTTGGAATATCTTCTGGAGCTTCTAGTTTTGGAGCTTGTCGGCACCTGTCCTCCCGCTCAGCTGCTGAGGCACTCATGTCTTCAGATTCCTTGGGATCCTTCTTTAATGGAAGAAGTCAAGCTGACGGAACAGTGACCCTTTTTTTCCTTGCACTACTTTCGAATAGAGATTTACTGTGCTTGGGGCATGCAGATACACCTGCTTTTACTGAGGGGAGTGAAGGAAGGCGTGAAAATTATGCCTGTAAGGTGTATTCCGGTTTAGTGAATCTGTGTATGAGACAGTAGTGGACGTTGCTTCTGTGCTTTACTTGGTGCAGTGAAATTCCCTATAAATAAATTGTGATATGAAGGAATTGTGTACAGGGGAAGAAGAGGAAGATAACTGCTCACTAAAACCAGCTAACAGTTTGTTCAGTCAGCTGCTTGCTTGTTCTCTTGGCGAGATTTTGAATACTGTTGGCTACTTAGTCAACAAATGCAAAGGAGCTACTTTTTTATTTCAGCACTAAAATTCTCGTGCTTTTGTAGACAACTGCTTTTTGATTAATTTCATTTTTATGTGCTGTGGAAATAGCAAAAGCTTTGTTGAACAACACTTAGGTAGCTTCTTGTTTCTTAAATGTAATTGCACTATAAACTCTTCTGCAGGTATCTCAGAATAGTCCAGCTCTTTATCCTCTAAGATACTGTACAAAATGATTGCTCAGTGCCTGATTGCAGTCAGCCTGTGTCCTCTGTGGCCTCAGCATATCTGGGAAAAAAAAAGGAAAGAGTTTTCCTTCAGCAGTAAAGGAAACGGCTGTCATTATTGCTTGCCTTTTCAGTATTAAGACTGAGTAGGTCTGGTACTTCAAGGGCAGTCCTTAGAAATGCAACACCAGATTTCTACTAGGTGCCCCTAGCAGAGAGTTTTTAAGTCTTCTATGTGCTAGAATAGCATGATTGACACATGAATAGCATGAGCAATTTCCCTAACACCCTGTTCTCTAAACTGTCAGCATTATTTCTTTGTCCAGAATATAGCTTTATTCTTTACAGATTTCCTTCATGTGAGTACGTTCTGTGTCCAAAATGATTCTTACAAAGCCAGCTCTTACTGCTGTTTCAGACTACCCTGGCGCACATCATAGCCAGCAGCAGCAAAAAGAACGGCACGAGGTTTGTGACGCTGTCAGCCACAAGTGCCAAGACAAATGATGTTCGAGATGTCATCAGCCAAGCCCAGAATGAAAAAAGACTCTTCAAGAGAAAAACTATCCTCTTTATTGATGAGATCCATCGTTTCAATAAATCTCAACAGGTGTTGTACTATGTCACTTTTTTGAATAATCCTTTGTCAGCACTTCCCGTAAAATTCACCTCTTCTCCTTAACATGATAGCCTACTTTGGGCTTTTGTTTTTAATTTTAATGTTTTTAGTAACCAAATTAGGGAGAGACTTAGAAATGTAATTCCATAACTAATTTCCGGGCATCAAAGATTTAAGTAAAAGGCTGAGCTATACTGAAGAAGACTTACATGCAGGGCTTTATATGACATTTTACTGAAATTTTACTTCTCCAAAGTCGCCTTAGTCATGTTTCCCATAGATATCTTCATTTCAGCCTCTACCCTGGGGTTAGCATTATGCATTCCCGTTAATCAGAAGTCTGGAAGGTAGAGGTGCTTAGGGCTTTTGTTTTTGTTTTAATGTTACCCTCTTGTTTCTGCTGGCAAAGGAAAAATAAGGCATAACATGGTACTTTTGACTGCAGCGATCACTTGGGTTTTTTTTTTCCTTTTTTTCTTTCCTAGGTATTGTTTTCTTTAATCATAGCCTGGAAAGCTTAAATTCTGTACCAGAGGTGACAATTTTTATTAAATTCTATGGAACCGTATTCCAATCTTCCCATAGTTTTCTGAGCCATCCGATAGAATTATGTAGAGAATTATAGCCCTAATGCTTGGTTCAAAAAGCAGTTAGAAACTAGCTTCATTATTTGTGGATTTGATAATGCGTTTTTCATGGTATGTTTTGCTGGCCAAACAAAAAAGTCAAATAAATAAGCTAAACATTTGCAGTTTTTTAACAATGTTTCTTTTCAACAGGTAGGGTTATTCTTGGTGCAGGCATGGGTTATCAAGGTAAACAGCCCGTGATGTGTTGCATGCATGAAGTTAAATCATTTAGCTGAGCAGATGAGCTGCCTTGTCAGTGAGGTTATTTGTCATATCAACAGGGAGCCCAAAGACTTACAAAACACATGAAAAATGTATTAGGAAAATGCCAGATAGCCTACTCACATAGGATGTTTCAGGTTGTCATCGATTGAGATCAGCTTTTTCTGCTTCCCTCCCATATTCAGGACACTTTCCTTCCTCACGTTGAGTGTGGAACTGTGACGCTGATTGGAGCAACCACAGAAAACCCTTCCTTCCAAGTCAATTCTGCTCTTCTGAGCCGGTGCCGGGTTATCGTTCTGGAGAAACTCTCAGTTGAGGCAATGGAAGCAATTCTGATGCGGGCCGTCAGGTCCTTAGGGATCCAAGTTCTGGGCCAAGATGAACAGCACAACAGCCCCGAGACTGGCAGCAACAGCAAGAGCTCAGAGTGAGTACTTTATGGGCTGCAGCATGTTAATGCACACAACCCGAGGAATTGACTGCCTGCCAGGAAGAGAATGAAGTTAAGGGTGGGAAGAGAAACCCTAGCCGCTTCTGATAGTAAAGAAAAGTAGTAGCAGCATATGGTGGGGAGGGGATGGTGGGGAGAGAAAGAATCCAAAGCCCTGGCTCTCCATCCAAAAAATAATCTTACCATCTGGATTAGTAGCGAGTTTTATACTTGGATCTGCAGCTCCTGACTCACCCCCAGGATATTTAAATCCATTCTGCTGCTGCGGATTTGCTGTGGAAGCCTGTAACTGGGTTCTTATCATGTCCTAATGTGCATTACTTTTTCTTACTGGTTGTAAAAAGCATCACATTACAATTAAGTGGTGGATGGGGTATCCCCTATAAATTATTTTGGAAGCGCCTGACAAAAGGTTACTGTTTACTGAATCTTTTTTTTTTTTTTTTTTTAATAAGATCAGAAGGTTACTGCTTTTCCTTAGCTCCGGAATTGAGTGCTATGGTATGTTTTATGGTATGCTTGGCAAGGGGGAATGTTTTTCTGTGAGAAGTTAATAGTTAAGTTTAAGGTAGATTTTGTTTTTCTCCGCTTCTTGTTGTCCAAACCAAATAGAGTTTTATTGAAAATTGAAGTCCTGATTTGTCCTTAAGGAATGTTGTCTCACTTACGAAGTGGCTAGCTAGCAAATGAGAATAATACATAGTACTGTGCTACTGTGATGCAAGTTATAGTTATATAACTTCATGTTGGTGCCTCTGCATACTACTAGTAGTTTGGGTTTTTGCCATGATGATAATTAGGCTGGCACTCTTTATGAAATAAAGCTAAAGTGCACTGCCTACGGCTACCTTTTATTTATCACAGAATGTGAGTACTCAGAATTCCTAGCCAGGATATAGAGGTCAGGGCAGGGAATAGCAGCTCTTGCCTTTCCCCTCCCCCCTTTTTTTATATCATGCTCATATTGCTTTAACCTCTTGTAGCTTTTACATATTGCAGTGATGTGAGTTGTAGAAGAGAAGGCAGTACTGCATGTCGGCATTAATGTAGCGGGACAGCTGTGGTTGCGGCTACACCCCGGCTGCGGTTTTGAGACTTTCCTTTCTGTATGGGATTAAAGTACAAGGCCATAGTTTCAGCTGCAGTTGTTTGGGTTTGGGTTTCACCAGACAATCGTTATCTGTAACCTTCCGTTAGCTATGGATGATTTAAACAGCACAGTGTGGTGCTTAATCAAACTGAAAGAAGCCTGGCAGGCAGACTGTCAGACTAGCCCAGTTTCAGAAGTCTATCCGCGAAGAGAGAGAGTGCCTCACACTAGTGACTAACACAGGAGCCAAATATTTTAAAACAAAAACAAGAATTCAGGGTTTAAGACTGTTTACTGCAGTTGTGTGTTTAGCCTTTCTTGTGTTTCCTGCCACTGTATGATTCTGGTTTGTAGTCGATACATACTGTTGCTGTTGATGCTGGGTTCTTTAGCCATCCTGCCCCTTACCTGTGGTTTAATTTTTGTTCTCTGTGTTAATTGCTTGTTCTTGCTTGACTGTCCATACCTGTTCTGCTTTTCTTTTTCTTCTCTGCCTACTGCGTCTCTTTTCTCCCTCTTTACCTCCTACCTCTGTCAAAAAGAGCTAGCGTTAGATGCAGGCAGGTGACAGTCCTGAGGACTAAATAAAAGTATGTCAGCAATTACTGTTGGTAGTTGGTCACCTTTGTTACAGAGTTGGAAAAGGAGCTCGAAGGCAGTATGTCTGCACTGATGTGACATGCCCACGTTGGAAGTGATGGAGAGAGCTAGCCAGAAGGCAGAAGAGATGTGCATGTTGAATTAAGATTTCATTTCTTTAAGGAATGAGCCTCCCTTTTCAAACCACAGAAGTGCAGTATGAAATTCTACATGTACTGCTTGGCCTCTTGGCCTCAGACAGGCTTGGTATGATGTAACTTGTCTGACGTGATGTCTGACCTAGATGAGAATTTGAAGATGATGATGATGATGATTCTCGTTGGTGCCTACTTTTACTCTGAGGAGTGAGTCTGCTGCGAGTGCAAATCTCCCTTTAGTTTCTACAGGAAAGTTCTGTGCTGAGCAGGACCATAGCTATTGCTGAGTGGCGCACTGTTTTTCGTCTTCTGTACTCTGCATGCACATGCAGCAATAATCAAAAGGAAGGCATGCTCTACCAGAATCTGTTTTGTTAAGTTTTTTTGGTGGCTCTTTCCTGTTTCGCTTCCACCATTGCTGCAGGTTTCTAATAGTGTTACATCATCCGGCTCCTCCTCATCCGTCATCCGGCTCCTCCTCATCCCACTGAGGCTGCTGCAGAGCCTTTTCTTGCTGTGAAGCTGCAGTAGAGCTAGCAGGAGGCATTACCTAGTTCGATATCTTCTTCTTTGTCATGTTATCAAATTCATAAAGCTACTTTATCATTTTGTATTGCAGTTACTGCATTTCTTTAGGCTGAGATAGGCTAAAAGTAAAATAAGCTGAAAGGGGGGAATATGAAAGAAGCATATGCTCATGAAGAGGAGGAGTAATAAGGAGAAGTCAAGAGTGAAGACATTTTATTTTGCTGAAATTTTACTGGTGTTTTCTTCTATTTAGACAACTGCTGTCTCACTAGCATCACAGTATGTTCCTGCCATACACTGATGTGCTACACTTGTACTGTGTCATTGATGGAAGAAACTAAATTCTTTTTTTCAATTTTTTGCCTTTTGCTTTTTATCATGTAAATGCTGCTCTCAGAATAGTATCTCTAATTGAAGTCAGACAGTAGACTGGATGTTGGATTAATGTATTTGGAGTTAGATAACAGAGGAGGCACACAGCTGAGTGAAATGAAGGATCCCCAGTTTCCTGTTGGAAAGACAGGAACACAAGTTCCTGTCTGTCAAGTTCCTGTCACAAGTCCTGGAAAGACAGGGACACCACACGAGTCAGCTTGTTCCTGTCTGTGTTGCAAGTACTATGGGGTTTTGAATTCACTGGCTTGGAAATCACAGTGTTTACCGTTGACCTTTTGGTCTTGAGTGTTTGATACCATTGTAGGAAATGGTTTCCTTCTTATTGAAACATTCATCCAGTTTCCTTGCTGGTTATAGGGTTGCTGGGATGAGAGGACATATTCAGTAGCAGTGCTATAAGACAGTAGGTAATGCAGTAGGCAATGCTACTTGTTACAGTATTTCAAATGAAGACTTATATTTGCCTGTAAGCTGTTGCATTCTGTCGAGGAGTGAATATAGTGAGAAAAATTGCACTGAGGATGTAAGAAAGTACTGATTTATATGCGAAAGAAGCAGTGGGCTACTTTATCTTATGTTATGCTCAATTATTTTTAAACTTTTCGTCATATAGGTTCTGCTTACTTGGACTTTGTTATATCTGCTGTCTGGTGTTGCTTACACTCTCTTGTCATTGGATCAAACCTAGTGGTAATGTACAGGTTTTATGGGTGGTTCATGCTATGTTTCACGTTGGTACTTGGCACAAACTGTCTTGAGGATAAAGAGGTAAAGGGGAACGGGGAAGAGGATTTATTATCCTGTAGTGGTAGTTTTCCACTATGTAAGTATATCATCTTCAGCTCAGTGAATGATAGATCCTGGGGCATCCCTATTGGCTTGTTTATATTTTTGTCTCTAAGTATCGTCAGTTGCAAGGTACCAACATTGAGCGTTGGCATCCAGCGCGTGCTCTGTGTTAAATTTGAGGAGTGGAAAAAATACGAGATTGCCCATCTGCAAGATGATGAGGAGCTTGTAAAGAGGTCAGAAAGCGTGGGAGTCATTCTGTCTTGCAGTTCCATGGTGTGTGGAAGTTGGGGTAAAGTGAAGGAGTGTAGGGGATCTGAGCTTCTCAGGGTGGGATCGGATTAAAAATATAAAATAAAGCAAGTGTCTTTTGGAAGCTACGATATTGAAATAACTGTCATACTGATTTGAAATCAGGCTCTTGCCTAGTGAAATTAACTCATCAACAATTTGAATTTTCAATTTTAATTCTTCAAAAAAATTAACTGAAATTGGTTAGTGCGAGTGTAAAATATTTTTGTTTTGAAATACTAAGTGTAAAGGGAACTGAGATTCTAGAATAGAGACGCACTAGATTATTTCAAGTCTTTGACTGTCTTTAATATATAGGGCAGGCAGCTTGCTCCTATGTGGCAATTTTTTCATTCATTCTTGTCCTGTATGTGACGCTAGATGTGGACTAGATCAGCCTAATATAAAATATATTGTTTGGAGTGGAATTTTCGCTATCAATATGTTGGAACTTGGATTTCATCATGGAATTGGATGACAGCTTTGCTTGTAACCAGATTTTCAGTACTTCCTTGTGGGTTTTTGCTTTAATTCATGTAATAGAAATTGCTTGTGTTGGGGCGATAGAGCACTTACAGTCTTAGAGGGAATCTGAAGAGACAGAATTCTAACTCAGCTTTCTTATGCTGATTTTTATGTAGCAATTAAATGGTAATAGGGCTCCTCCTAACCTAAGCTGTGTTTGGGATAGACTGTTCTTAGCTTCTTACAAAAGTACTAAATTCTCTTACTGCCCTTGAGTGCTCTTGGTGCTTCCCCTCCACCTTCAGGCACTGAGTGCAGTTGTAGCCTTTCAGTATCAGCCTGGGGAAGCTTGAAGTGCTTGCTATTCTTGTTTGCAAACTGCAGGCAAAGAGCTTAGTCCTTGCAGGACTCTCATGTGAAACCTTCTCTCTAATCTACCCTGCTGGTATATGCGAAGTGTTTGTTTGCTTAGTGTGCAGCATGTTTGTTTTTATTCCTTGTCGATTGACGTATTAGCAGCAGGATGTCTGTGTGTAGTGCCTGGTGGATTTTTAAAAATAGCCTTTCCTTTCTTTGCAGGTAATGAGACACTTGCTGGCTTGCTTCAGTGCATATAGCAAAACCCTGTGCCCATCTGTAGCACTGATGGGTGAACGTTGCTCCTTGATTTTCAGGGAAATTGATGTATGAGATACTTGACTGAATAAAGGCACTGTGTTATTGTAGCCTGCTGCTTCCCCATTCAAATGCCAAGAAGGTATTTGAAGCATCTTGGAGAAAGTGCAGTTATCTTGGAGTGACTGAGCGTGTATGTGATCTTTTTTTTCCAGTAACTTTAATGATTGCATGAGAAGTAGAGATGGAAATAAAAAAAATACAAGGTGGGTTGTGTGTAGATAGATTAAGAAACTTAGTTTTCCTACAGGATATGTGGTTCCTGCTGCCTACTCTCTCCAGCATGGTTTATGGCCCTAGAGGGCATTTGTCTACTTTTACTTTTGCAGTGATGTAGAATAAGATTGCAGCTCTGCAAGCTGTGGCCCTCTCGCAGGTGGACATGAGAGGACTCAAATACTGCCTGGCTGAGGTTTCTGCAGCCTCCAATGTCTTTTTCTTTTGTGTGATGAATGCAAAGTCTGTTTGCAGGGAGGAAGGTGTTCATAGAGGAGGGAAGTAGATTAAGTTTACCTCTTTGCAGAGAGTTCTTCCTGCTTAGGCTTGCACAGTGAGCATTTAGTATTACAGGAGTAGAGAGAAAAAGTTACCAGCAGCTAAAGTTGCCTTTCTCACTACTACTGACTGGTATGGAATAAGAGGGGAAGTTTAGGGCTGCTCATGTACCTGTAGTTGCAGAACTGCTTGTAGCTGTTGTACAGTTAACAAAGACATTTTTCATAACCTCATAAAGAACCAGGCCAAATATTGAACATCAGTGGATTTGTGCATCTGGGAACCTTGGCATTGCTTCTGTGTGTACCACTGATAATAACAGTAATAAATCTTTCCAGTAACTGAAGTGCAGTGATGTAGGTGAATTCCCAGTTATTTGGTGCTCCATAAGAAACTGCCTCTCTCTCCAAGCTCTGTGCGGCAATCCCCAGATGATACATGTCACTGTTGATTTTAAATCTTGTTACTGGAAGTTAGGGCCATTATTTTTAGCATGCTTTAGCTCCACTAGCTTCTGTTTTCAAAACAAATCAGTTGTATCCTCTGACGGCAAACGTCAACCTTACCCATAATTAAAGTTTGAGAGTCAAATCCTCAAGAGTATGTATATGGAGTATGTAGAGCAGAATCGGTTTGCCCATACACCCTGTCAGTGAGTACTGCAGCCCAGTGAATGAAAACCTGGAGAAAGAGCTGGAGGACTTGAGTTGCTTTCCCAGCTTTGCCATAAACCTGCTATGAGATCTCACCTTTTGCTGCATCTCTCAACTCTTCCTGTCTTGTTCATTTATAGTGTGGGCTTACAGGAGTTTGGCCTTTTTATTATGATGGATTTGTGTGGTCTTGGCACTCTTAAAGCAGTATATGAGAAGAATCGTGACTTCCATGCCCTGGGATACCTTTTCTTTGGGCTCCAGGTTTTTTTTGTTGTTGTTGTTGTTTTTTGGTATCCCAGTGACTAAATCTTAATACCTGTTACAATTTCAGAAAAGGGTGTAGGATGTGTATGTGCTTTACAATGTGAATAGTACTTTAGTTGTTGTTTTTAAAAGGATGTCTAATAACGTCTCTCTCTGGCAGTAGCAGTTAGTTTAAGAACTGGTGTTAATTGCCTTGTACCTCACTATTGTCTTGTGCATTTGGATAGCTTCCTACCTTTTCATTGTCTTTTAGCCAGGGAATTTTAAGTGCTAGCTATGAAATGCTGGCAGAGTAAAACCTTGTGATGTTCAACTAACTGTGCCAGAATTGGGCTTTTGTCAAAAGCCTAATCCCGCTTTCTACTGAACTTAATGAGACCGGGCAATCTCAAGAAAAAACAAGGAAGTATGGAAATAGATGAGAGCTCTTACCCCATCTTTTACATATGCCATTGTATTTAACATGCATTGGGCAGGAAGAGGAGGGGTTAAGTCACGTAGTGTTCTCCAAGGCTCTGCAGTACCAAAAAATGACAGAATGAGTTAAGAACAAAAACCAAGCTGCCTCTCAGCAAGCTTTGCAAAGAAATGTAACCTCCGGCCACAATGAAAGGAGTGTGATGTGGGATAACACTGTGGGATTATTTTATTGCAGATTCCCCGTGTACATAGAGAAGAAGGCTCTGAGTACCCTGGCCTACCTTTGTGATGGTGATGCAAGGACTGGATTGAATGGACTTCAGTTAGCAGTTCAGGCCAGATTAGCAGCAGGGATTACCAAAGGTTGTTCTGCAGATGGAGTTCTGATAACAGAAGAGCATGTAAAGGAAGGACTACAACGATCTCATATACTCTATGACCGAGCAGGTGAGTGCCTGACAACAGATACTGTGCCACAGAGTAGGAACTGGGGAAATGATTTAATTCTGTGCAAGTATTTTCTTTCCCTTTCCAGTTGTTGTTTAAATGTTTAAACAATGGTCTTAAAAATGTTTTTTAACTGGGAAGAGGGCTTAGAATTTTCTATCATTGTATCAGTTTATGTACATGCATAAAAGTCCGTGGGGAATTTCCTTTCCGTAGGTCGAATCAAATAGGATCTGTTGCCTTTCTTCCTCAGTGTCAGGACTGCAAATTTATCTTGAGAACTGAGAGTCAAGATGGGTTCCCTCAGTTTAACCTTTCTTCCATGCACAGTGTTATCAGACTTAAGCTTGGCTTGCCAAATACTTTGCATAAATTCCAGCCCCCGAGGAGGAAAACCTGGCAAAGGAGGACCAAATCAGCTACAAGAAACCCTTCCGGCCTCTGTAGCCCAGCAAAAGCCATGTAAATTGAGAATGGAAGATGGGATTTAGAAGCTTGGTCAGCTTTGGCAGTCAGTTGGCTGATTTGCAGTAGTCATGCAAAAGTACTCCGGTTTGCCAAATGATTTCAGTTAATCAGAATTGTATGATTTTTTTTTTTTTTAATTTTGTTGGGCAGATCAAGGTGTGACTTTTACATACTTGGTTTTGTGCTACGGAGCGTGCTTCACAGAATCACAGAATCGTTTAGGTTGGAAGGGACCTCTGGAGATCATCTAGTCCAACCTCCCTGCTCAAGCAGGGTCACCTAGAGCATATTTCCCAGGATCACATCCAGACGGATTTTGAATATCTCCAGGGAAGGAGACTCCACCACCTCTCTGGGCAACCTGTTCCAATGCTCAGTCACCCTCACAGTGAAGAAGTTTTTTCTCAGGTTTAGGTGGAACTTCCTGTGGTTGAGTTTCTGCCCGTTGCCTCTTGTCCTGTCGCTGGGCACCACGGAGAAGAGGCTGGCCTCATCCTCTTGAGGCTCCCCCTTCAGATACTTGTACACGTTGATGAGATCGCCTCTCAATCTTCTCTTCTCCAGGCTGAACAGGCCCAGCTCTTGCAGTCTTTCTTCATAGGAGAGGTGCTCCAGCCCTCTAATCACCTTTGTAGCCCTCCGCTGCACTCTCTGCAGGAGTGCCATTTTCTCCAGTAGTGCCTTCCTATTTTCTATGTGTATGTTAAAGTTGATTTGTTTGTTCTGAAGTCCATGTGGGGTTCTAAGCGGCAGGCCAGTAGGTCTCTTCAGCGAGAGAACATCTACACATATGTCAGGATTTGTCTCTTAAGAAGTGTTGATACACAAAGCCCTGCTGAAGGTGCTCAGGAAGAGTTAGGAAATATTTGTACATGAAGGGATTTCTCTCCCCTCTTTCCCACTCATTTCAGGGAAACACTGGGACATGATGGTAAAAGACAGGGTAAGGTCTAGAGCCTACAGGTATACGTGAGGTAAGAGATGGAAGCAGAGCCCCGCATAGCCACTGTCATGCCTTCTACTTGCATCTTTCCAGACGTGATCTTCTGTTTGCCTGCTCTCCTGCAGCTGAAGGAATCTGCTTCCCTTATCAGAAGGATCCCTGGAGGAAAATGGGAATCCTGTGACTGACAGAAGAGTCTGAGAGAAGGTCTCTCACTTACCAGGCATCAAAAACTGAAGTTTAGAGGACAGTAAAATAAGATGCCAGCTCCTTCTGAGGACTGTAGCTGTTAAAAAATATATATATATTGTTCTGCCAGATAAAACCACTTTTTGAGATGCAGCATTCTGAAGTACTTTATATTTCTTTTCTCTTTTTCATACCAGTTGCTGTGATGAAGCAGTGGTTGTACTGAAATGTTGACCTAAAAATTACTTTCCCTTTAGAGTACAGCGGTGGTTCTAAACTGTAATAGTTTGTAGTTCTGCACTAAGGTTCCCACCACCATGTGTCCACCTGGTAGCTTCCAAGGTGTTGGTTCCATGGTAGAACAAAGAGGGTAGACACCAAGGAGTCTGACCTAAAACCTCCTTCCGAGCAGGATTCCTGCTCACCACTTAAGAGGTGCAGGTTCATGTAGAGAAGGTTGCATGGTGAAACTATTTGTTCTTTAAGGTCGTTCGAGTATTAAGATCTGAGGGATTACATGGTGAAGAAGAAGAGGTAGTTTGGAGAGGAGGAGGTTTATTTTTGGAGGGTTGGAAATCTTCCATTGCACTGCTATCCCTTTGAAAGTCTTGGAAGTGCTCACATTCACAGTAATATCTTATTTGAAAACCTGAGCGGTTTGCTTTATTTTTAGAGTTGCTTTTTAAGGCAAAGAATTTTGTAGCTTGCTTAGGGCAGGTCACATCTAAATGCATTTAAGGATTCCTCATGTGATACCCACTCCTACTAAATTTGTTACTTGGCAATTTAGACATCACAGAAGTTGGCCATTATAGCTTTTTAAGTTAGGGTTAAAAAGTAGAAATTGAGTATTAGGGATTAGGAGAGTCCCCTTGATTGTGTGTGCTAGTTCTTCAGCAATGCTTGCATCACTGTGCATTTTAGTGTCCAATGATTATGGCAAGCAATATCTGGAGGACGGATTCATTTTTATTTTTCACTATATTTGATATGCTTGATTAACTGTCACTACTCAAAACCTGTGATGAGAGATTTCTAGAGGTTATTTATAACATATGTGTATGCGTCTCTTCAGCCTTCTTATTACAAAAAGAAAATGATGGCTAATTGTTCGGAAAAGGTCAGCTAGGCACATACTGATATGGTGGCAGTCAGGAAGCAGAGGATAGGCGAGGGGAAGGAGGAGAAAAGTTGTATGGGGTATGTGGCAGAAAAGGGAGGAGGAAGGGGAAAACCTGACCAGTTTACTGAGCGTGACTTGCTTGTGCTTTGTAATTTTTTTGTCAGCTCCCTTGTGTGTTTGCTCTCGCCTTGTGGTACGTGACATGCAGGGCTTTTTTTGTGGCTGTTGCTTCTGTATCTCCTCTGCCTGTTCCCTCAGTTAGAGGTGTCACAGAGTGCCTGTTCTTGAGGCTTGCGTCCAGTCTAGGTAGCACTTGCTCTGCCCCTTCTCTGTGACAGAAATCGTTTGAGCTTTGGGTAAGTTTTTTTGTCAGACTTTTTCAGAAATGAGTGTTAGAGGGGAGAGTTGTTTTTCTGGAATGTATGAATGCCAAAGAGCCTGGTGGTAAATATGGCCACAGTAGTAGGTTGTCTGCATACATCACTTTACAAAATGTCTTTCTTCTGGAGGGTAACCGGTGTCCTAGTTGACTGCTTCTGTCCATGTTAGAGATAGCTAGTGGTGCTTTATGTATTAAGTGCTTCTGGATAGAGCCTGCTGTATACATTAAAATATTTTGTAGCGTGTTTTAACTAAGACTTTTTGTAAAACAGTTCTTTGTGATAGAATCCACAATGCTCCAATAAAGTGGTTCTACCTCACAAGATGAAGGGATATGATGCTGTCTAACCATGAGAGCAGCAGCATACTTTTGAGTGTAGTGTGTTCGCTTAGCAAGCACCAGATAAGTAGTGTTCAGTCAGAGCTGTGTAAATACAGAGTTCTGATTTTACTTTGTTATCTATTTTTACTCAGCTTGGGCAAAATTTAACAAAGGTAAGTAGTGCGATGTTCTTCTGTGCACTTTTACCAAGTAGTCTAGGAGGAAAATTACTCATAATCCAGTCATGAGGCAGTGGTGTTGATCTTGGGCACATGTGCCCAAGAAAGATCTTTGCACAGAAAATCTGTGCATGTTAACTGATAGGAGAGAGAAACAGCTCTAGTGAGACTTTACTGTCAGAGGCAGCCTGCAGCCCTCACAGTGTGAGTGAAAATACATTTTTAAATTATATTCTAGCTTTTAATTACAGGGGGGTTTTTTGTTGTGATTTCCAGAGAAAATGTTGTAGCGACTGAATTCAATTAATGTTAACAACAGATGGACAAAGGATTGGACAATCCTTTGGACATGCAACAGATGGACAATGGATTTTTAAGACAGAGTTGTGTCATCTCCTCTTCCTGTTACGTATTGTGGCTTAGGCTTAACGCTGTTTTAGCAGCAAATAGCAAGGATAAATATCAGAATAATTGCAAGGTTTTGTCTTGTCATTTATGTGGTAGTGTAGCTTTGGCTGTTAAAGGCTGTGAATATATTAAACTGAAGAAAGAGTTATTACTTCTATAAAGTGGAAACACCTTGAGATGGCTGTTCCTTCCTCTTACACAGAGGAGGAGAGAAAACATGTCTCGTTTCATAGTGTTTGTATGTCACCTTCATTGTGTTCTGCAGAGCCTGAGAGAGATGCTTTTTTACCCATGCTGTTGTTGCTCTAGTCTTTCTTCCAAGGCTTTCTTCTAGTCTTTATCCAGGAGCAGTTGATGTTTATCTTTGACTAAGACAGACAGAAAATAATGGGAGATAGGGACTGCTGTTTTACTTTTGCGCATTGCTTAACAAGTCCAGACATAAACTGCAGTCAGTGAATGAGGCCTTTTCCTTGTCTATTACAAATAAGGCTTTAGATAAACTACCATCTCCTTAGATAAATCAGCAGGGAAATTCTTTGTTAAGAGATTTAAGGGCACAAAACTGAGAGTCAACAAGATTTATGTATCGATATCTGTTAGACACTTTAGAAAATCCTAGCCACCACCAAGCCCCTTGCGAAGTATCTTGTTTCTCTTAGGAAAGATATTTGCTTATGTGGGAACCTGATAGAACAAATGTATTTTGATTCCAGAAACTCTTCAAAGTTTTGATTTCAGGAGGCATCCAGGATGCAGAACAATGATAGATCACTTACTCTAAACTAAATTCTTAAGGCCAAAATCTGTACTTGGGCTAACCAGCCTGAGAGACAGAGTTAATAAACAAAGGTCTAAATAGAAGAGTTATCGAAATTTTTTTTTTTAACAGTTTCAGGCACCTGACTGATAAAATATCAAAACTATATATTTAAAAAAGAAACAAAAGCCTTTTGTCAGATACATGTAGCTGTATTCTTTTCCTGTAATTGAAACTCATTTTAAGTACAATTCCACATTTTTCTTGAAGACCAAGCCTATTGTATAACTACTGTTATTGTATAGATGACTCAGTCACCCACACTGACTTTGTGAGGAGGGGAATAAAGGGATAAGTCTTTTCCTTTTCTAAGCCATATCTGAAATACTCTTCAGATATGCATCTCTAGACCTAGCCTATCTACTGGCTTCCTTCTGCCTATCCAGCTGGTTCCAAGAATGACATGTTCCAGTAGCCCAAACAGTGTATAAAAGCACTTCAGCCAAAAAAAGCTGGGCAAGTGCAACCTGTCAAGATATTTAAAGGCCATCTTCTTTACTTTTAAGAGACCAAGAGACGCCTCTTTCAAGAGGATGATGTGAGTTCAGCTGCTTGGGTTTATTGCTGCGAACCCAAGTGTTATGACAGAGCGCAGACATGCTCTTTATGTTGGCGTGATAATGACTGCATACTGCGGGGCTCTTTGTGTGGAGTTCAATTAAAAATAGCTGTCTTCAGGCTGCATATTCCAGAAGCCCACACTTGGAGTTCCCGCAGAATCGCACTGCAGTGTTAACCGTAACAGAGGAAGATGGGCCCAGTTTCTGACCTGGAGGATGAAAGTCTTACTGACTTTCAAAGGAGCAGTTGCAGCCGTTTGGGGGCTTTGGTTTTCAAACTCATGTGCATGGCTTTTTTTTATGCAGAGCCCGCAAATGACAATAGCGTGTTCTGACACAGCCCTAGGGCTGTAAATCCTTTTGGCTGTCAGAGGAAGAGAAATCTAACAGATGGTTGTGTATGCAGCCAGTTGCCTTTATAGTACACAGCTAGCTGTGAGCCAAGGAATGCCAAGCACTTCAAAAAATAAAAAAGCAGATTGTATGAAAAGCTTAAAAACAATATGCCAGCAAAGTATTCTTACAAGACTGAATAAAAGAAATGCAGCCAGCTGCGTGAAGAAAATTTGCAAGTAGGAAGGCTCTCAGTCAGTATTCTTTATTTTGCCCCTCTATTTTTAGCTGTAGCCCTGAAAGATCTGTGGGGTGATATTGTTTCTCCTTGGAGTCCATATTTAATCTTATATTAAACTGTAATGTTAAAAAAATTTCCTTGTAAATTATTTGGTCCTCTCATCGCTGTATTTAGCAGTCCTGCACTTCAGGTCATTGGGGTTTTTTTGTTTTGTTTTCTCTGCTTTTTTGTTTAAGCTGCTTACAGTTTTCATTACTCTGCTAGCAATTCCAATGTCCGCAACAGAACCCACCATTTCATAGGAGGTTGCAATGGTTGTATGATGTGATTCTGTTTCTTCCAGAATGTATAATATGATATCATTGTAAATCCACAGCAAAGTGGATAATTCTTTATGCAGTGCTGCCTTCTGACTGGTTTATATGTGCTCATACCTTCTTCTTTGTCAGTTAGAATACATTTATGTAGGGTCTCCTTCCTAGGGTCTCTCCTTGCTTAAGATGTCTCTTTTATTTTTTTTCTTCAAGGAAAGGTCATTATAGTATCAAAAAAACAAATTCTTTGCCTTGCGCATTTAAAAAGAAACCACCCTCCTTTTCATCTGATGTTGCTCTGTTATGCTTATGTATTTAGTGAAACAATTCACATGGCAAAATATGACGGTATTGAAGATAGTCATGAATGCCATGGTCATGTATGCATGAGAAGAACTTGAAAAAGCTGGTTATGTTTATTTACTATGATCTAGTAAAGAATATTCTGTTCCTTTAAATCTGTTTACTGTGTATCTCTACCCACCTCCTTCCTAAACAGGAGAAGAACATTACAATTGCATCTCTGCCTTGCATAAGTCTATGAGAGGTTCAGATGAAAATGCTTCCCTTTACTGGCTTGCTCGAATGCTTGAAGGTGGTGAGGATCCACTCTATGTGGCAAGGAGGCTGGTGAGGTTTGCAAGTGAAGATATTGGTAGGTATTTGCAGTAATTTATGCTGGAATATTATGGTGAATTAAGATCTGCCTCAGGTTTCTGCTTTCCAGAGGCAGGTGTTTGGAAAAAAAATCTGCTATGGGTGCAACAGAAACAAAATAATGAAGTGCACCACCTACCCTGCCTTGCAAACTTCAGGCTTGATAGTCTGAACTTGATAGATTACCTAATTGTAAGGCATCTTGAGTGACTAGACTTATCTAAACTAATAGATGCAGCAAGAATTTTAGCAGGGATATGGTGGCTGAAGAGTTGTTAGATCTGGGGAAGCTATATCTGTATAACAGTATTTCCCCTTCCAAAAAAGTAAATGAATTTCATACCACCTGCTACTGCTCAGGCTGCCACCATGTGGCAACAGATTCAGTCTGTAAATCATACCTGAATTTTAGACTTCTTTTTGGGGGGGAGGGGGGCAGAGGAAGAAGATTGCGGATGGAGGGAGTGCATCTTGTGCACTAAAAAATATCATACCTGAAGTTCCACCATCTGAAAAAGCTACTTTGAAATGTGCATGGATAACCTTCCATCTTACAGGAAGAAAAAAAAGCTAGATGGTGACTAAAGCAAACTGACTTTAATTTGCTTTCATCTAATTCCTTTGTGTAGGGCTGGCAGATCCTTTGGCTTTAAGTCAAGCAGTTGCTGCTTATCAAGGTTGTCACTTTATTGGAATGCCAGAATGTGAGGTAAAGGTTCCATTCATTCACTGGTTTGAGAGCTCTGTTAATTGCAAAATGTAGTTGTAATTATAAAAAGAAACAGAGATCGGAAAGACAAGGCAAACTTAATTATTCATTCAGTGCACCATTTCTCTGGCTAGTAACAGAACATCATAGCTCTTAAGATAGATGCTGTAGTTTAAAATACAATTCAGTGCATATTTACTGTTAAAGTTGATATTTTAACTAACTTCATTTTGTTCTGCTGGTCTTGTTTTCTTTCTGTTATAATTAAAATCATATATTCTGATGTTCTGAATTAGCCATTCTTCTCTAGGAGCCAAAATCACAAAGAACAGTGTTGTTGTTAAATTATAATATTCCTATTGTAGTAGCAGATGGAAGTCAGTTAAAAACATGGGCCCAGTCATGCTGTCCTACACAAACAATCTGGACAGCAGTCCTTTTCCAAAAGAAATTGAAAGAAGTCATTTAACATTTTTATTTTTCTGGTTTCCAGGTAATTCTTGCACAATGTGTAGTCTATTTTGCCAGAGCACCAAAGTCCATAGAGGTATACAGGGCATACAGCAATGTCAAAGAATGCCTGAGAATGCACACGGGGCCCCTCCCGCCTGTTCCACTGCACCTGAGAAATGCCCCAACAAAGCTCATGAAGAACTTGGGCTATGGTAAAGGCTATAAATACAACCCCATGTACAAGGAACCTGTAGAGCAGGACTATCTGCCAGAAGACTTGAAAGGAACAAACTTCTTCAAGGAACGAAAAACGTGATAGCCTTGGTCTGAATTTTTTTGATTTTGACGCATATGTTTGTACTGGGACAAAAATTTGCCTTCTAGTTTCAGCCGCGTATCTCTGGGGTTGAAAAGTATTAAACCACTGAGCCTTTGAGACACTGTCTTATCCTTCTGGTTGTACCATTGCTGTTCCTGAAGTGTTTCGTAAATAATTACAGCTGTGCAATGTAGAAATGCAGAAGTAAGCTTTATCAGCACAATAGTGTCACCCTCTAGTTCAGATGAACCAGAGAAAAAATATACATTTCTAGCTCTTTCTGTGAGACAAGGAATATTGTCCTGCTGCTTTTTAAAATCGGTATCTATTTGAGATTTTGAGAATGTGTATTTTCCAGAAAAAGGGTAAATTGCCCCCCAGCTAAAATATGGTAAACAAAACGTAATTACAATGTAATACTTGCTTATACAATGTTCCAGAGACTACTTTTGTACAACAATGTTTATTAAACCAATAAGTTGTGGAAAGCAGTGTCTATGCATTTGTTTAAATATTCTTATGACAGCAGTGTGGTTTTGGAAGTTTGAGGTTCCTTTAATTTTATCATCCCTACTTTACACAACAAGTTTAAATGATTTTGGAAGTAGAGCAGTCATGAAAATGGCTGAATTATGTTAGTTTTTGAAGTTCTGTCACTTAAAATTTTTATCATATGATGACATTTTGGGAAGTGCTTTTGGAAAAGAGACAATATTTCGAGTTGTGCAACCGCAGTTCTTTTAGCTTTGAATCAGAAAGCTGAGAGGTACAAACTGACTTCCTGCTGTTATAACAAAGAATTTGGCTTCCTCTTCCTTCTGAAAGCATATCCACATCCAAGATTGCTGTTGACTGAACATTTCAGTAGGTGAAACATGGCACTGGCCCTGATGTCGACAACATTCCTTCATTTAAACGCTAATTCCTCCTCCCACCCTTCCATAAGGGTGCAATGTTTCATAAGCGTGCAATGTTTTAGTGTGTTGGAAAGCTAGTGATTGCTAAAACAGCATATGACTGTGCTATCTAGCAGTTGGGTAGCAGAAGACCATGTTCAGCTAGCATTACAGCAGATAATTAGCTAAAAAAATGTCAGTACTGAAATGGTCAATAGCCACTGGGACAACGGTCTACATTTGTCAAAGTGCTATGGAATAATCTGGCCACAACTAATTGGGATGTGTGTCTTGTCTTGGCTGAGAATTATTACCTACACAGTAGCACAGTGCAATTACAGCTAAATTTGCTCAGTAATTACTCAGGAGTTAGTTGCTAAATACCCAATATACCTGCAGCATCAGGCCTATACTGGTTACCTGACAGATGTCAAGGTTTCCTATCCTGATACAGCTTAGTTTGTAAAATGTGATGAGATCAAATCTTGAAGTGTTTTAGGTATGTATGTTATGAGACTTTTTGATTATTGTCTTCTCTTGTCTAAAGGGCATCTGTATTGCAAATCATTTTGGTTGCATGTGATTTTTGTGTGTCCTCCCAGCTTGATAGGCTTAATAAGTTCCCCTCCATGAAAAAATGTAGGATTTAAGCCAAGAATCCCAGTGTAACTTTTAAATGTTTCAGAAATTAAACCCACTGCGTGACACTGTGTGCTGTTGGAGGTTTTGAGTCAGATTGTTTAAACCTTTCTGTGTGTTCTCCTTCCTCAGGTGAGCACCACTGTTTGTTGCAGTAGGTTTATTTAGCAGAGTAAGAGCTACTTCTGTGGTACTACTTTGTGCCCTTTAAAGCTGTGTAGAAAGACTGAAACAGAGGAGAAAGCATGGTTTATATTCATCTAGAATATTCTTGGCAAAATTACTCATTCAACCAACATTCATTTTAATTCTTTAGACACAGGGAATTGATGCAAGTATTTCTTTAAAGGGACCATGATAGCTGACCCCAGCTTGCAAACCAGATCAGAATCATTGGCTGGTAAGCTTAAAGACAATTTTTGTCTTACAGGTATATGAGATGTTGGTGTGCTTCACTTGGATGCAACTGGCAGTTAGAAGTGTTTGGCTAATGCAATCTGAGGTATTTTCCCATTCTTGGCTGCTTCTATTAAGAAAGAGAAAACATCACTGGGTTTTCTTAACTTTGCTAGTACTTGATAAGGCTCAAACTGAACTTATTATCAAGTTTTACCCAGTTGAAACTCCAGACTGAAGTTTCTTGCCTGTAGCTGACAGGAATCTTCTATTTTAAGGTCGTCATTCAGTTGTTTAAAACTTGATCAAACTCTGCTTGTTATGACAAATTGTGTTCCAGGTGTTGTAGTAAAAGTTGCATAGAAGTGTTGCAGAGCAGTACTCGATGTGCTTTGTCCCACATGTAGCTCTGAACCTTCTCCATCAGAAGGTGTAGTACCCTGTGCTCTGAAGCAGCTTCTTGATGTTTTGGAAGCGGACCTGAAGAGACTCCTCCGTTTTTTTTGCGCTTGGCAAGACTTGCTAGAATTTGGCTGATAGGGTATCTGTCAGCCAAGAAAGTCTGTGGCTGTACAGGCTATAGCCAGTCTAGCTCTTCACAGATTGCTTTCTCTGCACTATCTCCTGAGTTGTTGCAGGCTGTAGCAAAATTGAAAATGGTAGCAGTCTCTCCTGTGTTCTCAGTGCTCCTGTGATGGTCCTCTCTCTTTCCTACTGGGAGGGTGCAGAGGAAGGAAGTTGGTATTTCTGGGCATGCGGGTGAAATGAAAACTAAGGTATGCTGCTGTTTGGAGAGAGTAGAAATGATGTGCTAAAAAAGCCTGCAGGTAGAACAAAGTAATTAAAAGCAGTTATTGACTGCAGCTGCTTGGCCCCTTGATTGCAGACTAGGAATTACTGTATCGGTAGAAGCAAGAACTGGAGGTGTCCAGGAACTGCAACAGAGCTGTATAATCTGTGCAACAAATATATTGGTTTTCAAGTCAAAGACAATCTGGGGATGATACTTAAGCATTTTCAGTACATAATATGAGTTGTGGTTCAAGCAAATGCTATTTTTTCTGCTGTAGTCTGTGTAGGCTTTGGTTTTCCTTTAAATACTCAGTCCACGCTACTTTCTCCCCCATCTTGCCTCTGAGCATTTGTGCATTCTCTATACAGAGTTACGCTGATAGCTTTCCCTGACCTGGCAGTCTCGCTTTCTGTTGTTTGAAAGGAGGCAACGTCAGCCCATAGCCCTATGCAGAGCGTGGGTCTCTTCACCATCTACAGCCTCACACCTCCAACTGCAACATGTGACATGATAACGCAAGTACAATTTTATTATGATGTGATGATAAGGAAAGAGGGTGAGGGCTCTGCTTTCTATATTTCCCTATTGATGGTGGGGCTATGCTTATACATAGATCAAAGTGCAAACTCTAAGAATGGCAGAAAAAAATGTTCAAGTCAGATACACAGTGAAGGTAATAAACGAAGTGAACTTTATTAATAGATAAGGTATGATTTAAATGGATGTGTGGGGTTGGAGATGTAGGGTAGGGATTATCTTTCCTGTACCTATATAAAGAGTTATGCAATAATAGAAGTTGCAGGAGACAGTTCTGTTAAATGCACATGAAGGATAAATCTTCATTCCTGGTATTTCAGAGGAAGTACCATAACTGTAAATGGTGTATGTTAAGCCTTTCAGCTGTGTAGCAGGAGAGTTGTGTGTTACCTAGTAAAAAATAGCTGAGATGGGTGAAACCTTAACATGCCTGTGTCCTTTTCTTTTTTTAGTGAATAATTATGATGTCTATCCCATAATAAAGATTAACCGAACAGGAAAAAACATTCTGAGAAAAAAAAAAAAAAAAAGCAATGAGGATCTTCAGGGAATCATAAAATGTATGAAACTAAAGATTGTACTTGAAGGGGAAGAATTTCTGACAGTTTGTAAAACTTTTCCAGAACCTTTCATGATACAGTGATAGTCAGGAAATCACTATTCATAGCGCTCTGGAATGATATGCAAGATAGTCATCTGTCAGACTGTGGTGAATGATTAACACTTATGCAAGAAGTAAGGCTTACTATATCTGAGAGGGCTTAATTATTACCATTTACATCTGTTGAGTGCATATGAGAAGTCATTGCCTAAAACAGAGGATATATTGGCTTCGTTAGTGGGTTATGATTATTTTTTCAAGACCGATTTAACTCAAGATTTACTTACTAATGGTCATTGAAGACAGTACCAAAAACGTACATTTATTTTGCTGTTACGGGCTAATCTTTGGAGGACAATAGGTGCTGCTATTTGATAGCAGAGGGGAAGCAGAGGGCATTCCAAAAAAAAAGCATTCCTGGTACATGCTTATGGGGAAGGCTAGGCAGGGGATTTAGGGATGAAGAATATCAGCAAAATGTGTACATAGGTTTAGAGTTACTAGTGAGACATTTCAAAATTTTACTTTCGGTAATGTTAACTTTTAAAAATATCACAAGAGCTTGGTACTACCAAGGTAGTCCAGCTGTAAAATATGTCACAACTATTTTCTTCTGGGTCAGACACATGTCACCAGGGGTTTTGCCCACCAGCAGCCATGTCTTAACAAAGGGTTACACAACTGATAGAGGGCTTGGTATCCCTCCATGGCATCTGATGAGGCCAAGAAGCTGATAATATAGCTGGTTTGTGAAAGCTTTGAGCTGAGCATCTTCCTAAAGACAATCAGGTCCTTTGACCATCTTCATTTACATAAACTGCATGGTGTTCTTTTTAGTCTGTAATTCACTTATTTTTGTTCTTTCTTTGGAGCTTGCTTGTTGCCTGAATTAGTGTGGTAATTAATTAGATTAATATTTTTATTTTCCAAGTCTTCTGAAAGGCATATGGAGTAATTAGGCAAGATGCGGTCATGGTAAGGTCATCCTGAAAGTTTAATGGACTTTGATTCTGTACAAGTCCAGGTTAGGCTAAGTTTTCACAGCATATAGATTTCAGCAAAAAGTCTTATTTTGTGCTCACTTGGGTGTTTTTGAGTGCTGTGTGAAGGAACACAGGGAAAGGATGGAGCTAGAGGTACAGAACTCCCATTTGCAGAATATAGCTGAATCTACACTGAGGAGCAATGGGGTGAGGAGACACCCCTGAAACATTGAATCAGAATAATCCAAACAGCTAGGACCACTGCGATAGTAGCACCACAAGGCTGAAATCAGAGAATTGGGATGGGTGCTTTGGGGCAGGTCTCTGCAAAGTAGCCCTTTCAGGACTGAAGCAGAATAGCCATGATGGGTTTTCCCTCCCCGATCCCCTAGCACACCTCTGAGATGAGCTCGGCCTGTGAGAGCGGGGATTAAGAGGTGTAGCATGGGGTGAGACTGAGTCCTGGATTTCCATAAGTTGTATATTGTTTATTTGATATGGAAGAAGAGGAGGAGGTTTGATCAAACTCTTCCTGTATTCGTCAGAATTACTTTTTTCTACATATATAGTGAGTTTCCCGTGGTGCTTTATACTGTTTCCCTTTTTTCCCCACAAACCAAAACCAGCACCTGCTGACCTGACTATGGAGTCTTCATCAATAATTTCCCAGTGGCAAAAATAGTCTGGGTGACAGTGGGGCAGTGGGAGGAACCTAAGTCAAGTTCGTTCATTGTGTAAATGAACTCTTCAGCGGACCCTGGTCTTTCACCTTCCCACTGCCAGAAGGCCACGCAGGAGGTCTGTGCTCTGTAGGTTTCCTGGCAATGCAACTGTTGTCCTCCAATGGTTCCAACGAAGAGGAAGAAAGCTGCAGCCTTGTTTAGTGTAGCAGTGGAAAGACAAATAGGACAGAAAGCACCTATCGCAATAAACAAGCAGGAAAATATATGCTCCATTTCTTTCTGTTCAGTTTTCTGTAGCTGCTGCTACATGACGGAACAAGATCCAAAGCATTTTTACTAAGTGCTCATGGGGGGGGGGGGGGTGGCTAATACACAGAACACACACGTGGTCTAGACGAGAGGATATTGCCAACAGTCAAGCCAATAGCTCATCTGTTAAATGAGGTGGATGCACACTTATTTTCTGCCTTGTGGAATGAGATTACCGTGTATGCTAGATAGGATGCCTTGTATTCAGTCTCCTTCCCTTACTCCTCCTTTTCCTTGGAAATTCTCTATATCTCCTCTCATGCCCCTATTTCAGAGCAGAGTTAGTCACAGCATCTTTTCCAGAGCTGCAGTAGATGTAAGCAGCCTGTACTCGCCTTTAGAGGGCAACACAGCTTGCCAAAATGTACAGTGGTGCTTTTTCATTCCTTCTTCCAGCGGGCTTCTCTGTCAGTCCTGCATGAAAAGAGGCTATGCTCCATTGTGCTCCGCAGCACAGGAAAACCAGCCGTGCTGTCTAGTGACCTACTAAAATACTGGCAACAGCAAGTTAATATTTCAAAGTCACCATGCCTTGTGGCCTTTTTCCAAGCAAACTATTATTTATCTTTTTCCCTTCCTCCCTATGGTAATTAGCAAGGGTCCTACACTGTAAGCTTCTCTCAGCTCTCTCTCTCTCCCCGTGATGTGTACCTCTTATATTCCCTCTAAAGAGGGTCACCTGCGCTGTTCGGAGAACTCTGTGCTCTATAAACAAGTTCTTCAGGAGCAGGTGCAGTCACAAATTGTCATTTCACTTTGCGCCATTTCCTGTCCCTCTGTAACAGACCGCAGGCAAAAATGTCCATTTCCTCTCAGGATGAGGTGTAAAGTCGCTGCTTAGAGTTGGTAATGCTGCTTTCCAAAAGCAGAAGCCAAGCTCCTGGTGCGATTGCTCCAAAATTCACAAGATAAACAAATGAAATTAAACAAAAAAAAAAGTATATTTCTTTTCTTCTGCTTTTAAGTGCCTGGGCTTTGCCTTTTGAAGCTCACTTAATGGCTAGAATATACTGTATTGTCACATATTTTGGGTCATATATAAATACATAGGAACATTTAATAGTGAAAGTAAGTATCCTAATATTAAAGATGCTGTGAGTTAACTGATCCATGTAAATTTCTCTCTAGGATGACTTAAAGTAACTGTCCTCCTTATCCAGGATGCAATGTTTACTTTGTAGGAAGGGCAACTTCTTAAATTATATGATTCAGACAGCATCCAAATGGCAGAGCTTTTTTTTAAATTATATTAATGATGTCATCAAAGGGTTATGATGTACAAGCAGCAATACAAAGTCTGGCTTACTCAGCATCTCAAGGTGAGCATATATTGCTCTGAATTTTTGATTATTATAAAACAAGGTCTGCTTAAGAGAGGCCAAAACAGAGACTGAATTCCACCTTCAGTAATTGTGTCTTCCAGTGGAAGAAATTCATGTTGAGCCCTTGCCCTCACTGCAGCTTGGTTTGGGATAGAGAAGTTCATTGTCCTGTACTTACCAGTTCCCTACTAGGAAATTAACTGCAGTTAGACTGACTGTATTTCTCTTTAATGTTACAATCATCTAAATTAATATAAATAAAATATTTTGTATATGTAAAGTATTTTTGTATATTGTGTATGCAGGTGTGTGACTGCTACTAACTAAGAGCAAAGTTAGGTTCCTAATTTTATATTCAGATTTCTGAGATGACATCCTCTCATCTTCCATGTTGTATCTTTAACTCATTAAAGTTATAATTTCATCCTTGCTTCTCAATTAAAACATCTCATACTGAAAATTATCAAGCTTTGTCCTTGGTGAGACCTGTGGTCATTTAGTAGTTCTAAAAATAATGTCCTTTGTAAAAGCTATTTTAAGCAGTATTTTATTTTTTAAACATTATCTGTGAATATAGTTGGCATTCCAGTTTCCTGTTACAATCAGTCCTCATCACTTGTTTTGACAGGTGCACAGGAAAAAAGTATTAAGGAAAAACACTCACTGTTACATTACTGTGAGACCTGCAATATGGGAGAGGATAACTCAGCAATAAGTTTGCTAGCTTTTCAAAAAATGGTTGAATTTGAAGAAAGTAGTACTGACTTTATTGAAATTCTTCTCTCTTATTCTGTCCGTAGAAAGCAAAATTATTCATTTCAATTTAATTTTCAATTACAAATAACTGAAAGTAATAAAGACGTGAGCCCCCTCATAAAACCTCACATAATAGTTCAAAGCTGTGGTATTTATCAAATTACTTCAGTAATCTGATAGAGTTCAGTTTTGTATTTTGGATCTTAAAACCTGGGAAAGAGGTACTACTTCACTTACCTTAGTACAGCTAAAAAAGTGCAACTCTACTTTTTGTTTGCAGTGAGGAGGAAAGTTATAGTTATGTAAAGGTACACAGCAGTGTAGCTTTAGATTTCTTCTGATGGCCTGGTAAAGTGGTTACACCCCTAACAAACTTGGGACATGATACATCTTTCAAGTGTTGACTGAGTTTAAGTATATAAAGGTAAGGATGTATACCGCACAGTTCTTAATCCTTACTTAGTCAAAAAAAGTCACTGTCAACAGACATTTTTGCCAAAAGGCTGAAGGTGAAGACTCAGAAACCTAGAACAAATAGTTCCAATTTTTGACACAAGGCTCTGTGGTAATCTAGCCTGCAAATCTCCAAAGACTTATTCACAATGCGTTGGCTTTTCAAATCATTCAGCACAGAAAAGGTTATACTCACACCCGCACCCTGCAATACGCTCCTTCACAAATTGACTGGAGCCTTTGAAACTGAGGTATCAGTAACGCACTGAAACACATTTACTAATGTAAGGACCACATGCTTAAGTCATTTAATATAAGCTGTTATTCTCCCCCTGTTCCCTTTGAATGCTAGCAGATGGAGTTGCTACATTTACAGGGGAAGCTGATGGTTCACAGCAGAAATCTGTTCAGACCCCATAATCTGTTCCCCTAAGCCAGGAGTTTTTCTGTAATCCCACTTATTCTGAACTGCATACAGCTCATCATGCCTACTGAGCCCATGTCTTCCTTTGGCACTAGCCTTTAAGGTAAATGGTTCTTTTTGTACTCCGAAATACTCGAGTGTGTGCAAACACGTCCTTGTTTTAAACACAGGTTTACAAAAAAGTCTTTATTTGTAGCTTAAAGACAAGATTATTACACAGTTCACAATTAAATAAATGACTGTGCCCAACTCAGAACTGAGGCTGTACAGGTAAACATTAGGAACGAAAGCCAGGATATAGATGACACGGGCATATAATGACCAGAAATAAGCACAGAACATTAACAGTACACAGTCACAGCGGCTCCCTGGTGTAAGGCACTGTTAGCATATAGAGAGGTAGTGGAAGTCGGAGCTCAGTAAACGTGGCATGCTTATACAGGCAGTGACGCATCAGGTAGCTGCTGAAGATTACATACAGCCGTCTGCCGGGAAGCCATAATGTTTTAGGAGGATCACACTGGTTCTGGCAAGCAATCTAGGCCATGTTAAAACCTCTGAACTTGCAGAAAGGAACCTAAAGACACCTAAAACCTCTGCCACCTTCTGAGCCTTGCCAACGTTTTCACACATTTTCAGCAACTAAACTAGTACCAAACTATAAATTTTAAAACTCTCTTTAAAGATGTCCCCGAAAGATACTATTCATGTCCTACCCTTCTCCTCATTCAAGAGCAATGTTATAAGTTTTCTAGCTCATGACTGGAAGGGGTTACTTCTGTTTAAATAGCTTAATCCTTTCTCTAATAATAGATGTCTCTAAACAAATGCTATCTGACCTTCTATTCCAAGAGAGAACTAGGCAAACTCAGCTGTTCAGGAGCATGCCTTTTGGTGCCAAGAAGTATTTTATTGAAATATCTTCCAGGAGCAAGGCTTTAGGGAGGAATAGCTTCGCAAGTACATCCTAACACACATGCACAATGATTGACTGGATCAGTCAGCGGTGACTGACATAGGGCTGTCAGCCTGAATAGTAAACAGAGTGTTCTGTGCAAGAAGACATGGGGTGATGCCATGTCTTAAATGTCCAAAAGTATTTCAACTTCTAGTCCAATTTCAAAAGAAGATTTCTTCTGCCTAAGGTTAAGATTTTCCTAGTGATTAAAGATGCTCTGTAAGAACAGGGCACAGAATCCCAAGAAAAAAAAAATACTCATCAATTTCTCTGGGTTTGTTTTAATGGGAACTGCAGAATCTCGGTGAAAGTTACTAAAAACTCAGCGACAGGAGCATTAAATTTCTACATCAAAATCCAACTTATTTAGGAGCAAAGCTTTCATTGATCGCAGCAGGAACTGGGCTACAGATAATAGGTTCTCTTCTATGGAGAAGTGTATCTGCCAAGAAAAAGTATGCTTTGTGTTGGGTTGTGGCGGATAAAGAAAAGGAAAGGATGATCAGCATTGAAATCCTCTTCCATAACCATGCAGAGCATAGCAATGCCAGCAGTGGCAGCTGCAGCTTCTGTGCCTTCCTCATTCACTTCTACAAAAGCCTTGTGGACAATTTTAGACAGAAAGAGGTCACGTGCCCCTGACATTCCCGACAAGTCAGCCTTGCCACTGTCAAATACATCTAACAAGCCCATAGCAGATAAATCTGATTTAAGGTCATAGCTTTCTTCTAGCTTAAATTTCGGCAAATGCACATTAACATCAGTGAAATACAGATGCTGTGGATGTGTCCATTCCTGGAGCTTCTCAAAGGTGAGCTGCTTTTCCAGCTAGAATTAACAAGCACAGAGATCATCAAATATCACTAGTGTAGAGATACTTAAATTCCAGTAACATTTGAAACGCTTTACAGAGCGCTATTCAACTACAAAGCATCTATACAAAAATGACCATACCCATATCATTACTAGTACCATGTAGATCAAATGAACACTATTAACATTAATGAAATCAGTGCGGCGTTTACCCAACACAGATGTTTACTTCCTCCTGCAGCGTAGAGAAGGGAATAACATGCACTGATAGCAACTAAAAACAGTCATTCCTACTGTTTCATCTAACTAAATGGAACTACATAATTAAAAGCCAATAACAAAAGTAATTATCAGAGATCTCAAAGAAGCTGATGTGTTCCTGGTCATTTAATGGTAAACAGTCTCACTACTTTAAGGCTAAGAAAATAAGATTTTCAAAGTTCACGAAAGGAAAGTTCTGTCATTAAAAAAGGAGGCAAGTTAAGTCTCATAGTTAACTTCCTTTTTGTTATCTCCCTCATGACTCTGTCCTGCAAGCCAAACACCAGTGAATGCAAGCTACAAAACCAGAACACAACCTCTCCTGATGCATTGCATGCATATATTCTTTATGGCAATGTTAGTGGAGCATTATCTAAAAATATGCTTGCTAGATATGGGGCTCTGAGACCATAGGTTTCACCAAGGCTTTAATTTTGAATGGCAGAGCTTATCTATTAAATAACTGCATTAGCTTAGAAAGGTCACCTCCTGCAGCCCAGTAGAGTCATCTTCAATGTGATCGGGTAATAAGATGATCATACTAAGTTCTTGTCCATCGTAGGGCAGCTCTAAAATACGGGTCTTCATTTCAGAGATGTATCCAAAATGAAATTTCTCTTTCTGATACATCATTTTCACTGTCTTTCTTTCATTCTAGGTGGTCAAAAGGTAGAAAAATAACAGTTAAGAAAAATAATAATTTTGAGAAGTGAAAGAAAACAGCTAAGTTAAAAATCAAGTCTTTATGTATGTTGCTAATAACTAGGATTAAAATGAATCTTGCAATCCCCCTTCCCTCATTATATCAGACAATTATACGACCCTCTTCATCAGACTTCTGACTGCATGTTAATAGCTTTTTTGAAGGCAAAATGATATATAAATGCTGATTTATTATGTTTGGTTCTCCTTTGGCTTCTCTAGCACAGTCACTGCAGAAACTGCGACAGAATTTCTTTGACTTGCTGTGCCTTTATATTACTCTACCAGCAAAAATGACCAGGGAGTGTGTTAAAGTCAATGAAGATAAACTCTGTTCAGCATAAAGTAGATGACAGTGTACCTTGTACACAGTAGATGACAAGTACCTTGTAAAGCTGTTGCCATAAGTGGAATATAGAACAAGAAAATAGTGCTCAACCAAAATGTCTAATCGCTTGCTAAAGTGGCATCGCAAACAGACTCAGTTTATAGAAGCCCATGGACAGATAAACTCTGTGGGGCATAGTCAGGTTCCTAGCCTATGCATGAGAAGCATTCCTGATGCGATTCCAATAAACACCGAGAGAATTAAGAGCTTGCTGAATACAGAAGCATACTAAAATCCATACAAAAACTCTTTCAGCTGAACTGAAAATATTCATGAAAGTATTTCCTTTTATATTTGTTTTTTAAATCTTATCGGTTCATAAAGCTTCAAGACCCATATTATTTGATGTTTCTGTTAGATACACACTACCAAGATGTATCCATTTTACCTTATTTAACCAAAACGGCATGTCAACGGTACTGGCTTCTTTAAACTTCTTTACCCAGTTCCCTTTGAAATAAATAGCATTCACCAGTACAAGCCTGGTCATGTTATTAACTGAGCCTTCAGACAGCAGATTAGGGACTTTACCTTGAGAGGGAGAGGGGAAAACATGTCACAACAAAATCTTTTTGTTGGCTACATATAAAACATCCCTGATGCCACAGAAATACTACAGATATAAAACTCCAGCCCGCTAATAAAAACTGTACATTCCAGGACCAGTCTTTTTACCTTACCACATTTTTTAATAGTACACACTACTATAACTTTGGATATACAGTAATCTGATGAAAGTGCAATATTTTCAGCTTCAACTGTCACATGTAATTCTCAGTCTCTGGTGATTTGGTTCTTGCTATCGAGCTCAAAACAACCCAGTGGGATCCAAGCTGCAGGAGCACTGGCACATCACTTGACGGTCAAATTTTTTTGCAAGCAACGACGCAAGAAGTAGAGAATACTTAAATTTAGGATCATTGGATTTAGATATTATATATACAGTATTGATCAAACTATCTAAAACAAATTCCCCAACTCAAGAGTATAAACCTATGTTTAGACAGCTGTTCTGGATTTATTGGCCTTAATGCACAAAAATGGAAATATCTTTAAACCTATGTGACTGTTTAAATGCCTTGCTTAGGTACTCTCTCGTTGTGTCAGTCAAGCAACTGAATATCCCAGGGCAAAATGAAATTGCTCTAAAGGCAGCAGAAAATAAAACCTCTTCCTGCTCCCAAGCCATGAAACACTGTCAGTTACTTCATTAACCTTAACAGCTTACCTTCGGTTTTCTTCTCTACCCACTGGTTAATTTCCTTTCGGGCTTCATCATAAGCCTGAACAAAATCAACTGTGGCCAAATCAGCTCCATATAATTTCCGAGTATTAGTCAGGAAATCCTAGATTTTGGAACGATAAGGAATAGCTTTCATTGCGTGGAGATAAGAAAACACCTCTTTATGATGCAGGTAACGTCCAGGTCAAACAGTTTATCCCCTACTCAGAGGTGGGGCCCTACCTACTGTCTGTTTTTCATTCATATCAGAGCAAGCCTCCTAGTGCATCTGCCACGCTTACCTGCAACACGGTGCTTATTACAGGCATTTCAGTCGGTCACTGTGGTGAAGCAGGCTGAAGCACAGGCTGTGCACCGCACAGCTCCCAGAAGGTGCTGAAGAGGGATATAAACAGCAGCCTTGCCTTGGGAGTGCTCTTCACACAAAGGTATAATTCACTCGTGAAGGGACATGCTGTTTAGACATGTTCGGTATTCCCTCCCTAATAAATAGGATGTTTTCATAAATATCTACGGAATGTGGCAGCCTACCAAAGGAAATCATTAAAAGCTGCTGGCAATAGACTCTGAGCAGACATTGAAGGAGTGGGATATTATGATAATTATTTTCAGCTAAGAACCGAGGCAACCGCTTATTCTCTTGAGCCCAAGAGCTGCAGAACTGAACAAGTGAAGAAAATGCATTCTGCTGAGTAATATCCTTTAGGTAAGATGTACAGGTGTCCACAGGTGTGGGCATGCTTATGCACATATGTAACACTTTTGTCAACTGCCCGGTAACATTTACAAATATGCCTAGAAATATTTTTACTTTATAAATATTCAAATGGTTGCAAATGCATTTTTAATAAATCAGTAACACGTGAGTCGCACTGCTTACGAAAGTAAAGCCAAAAGTTGTTAAGTTTTACATTTAGACCTGTTCTAGTGGGGTTGTTTTTGCCATGGTGCATTCTGGAGATAGGAAAGAAACTGATGACTGAGTTTCAAAACTTCCTACAGGGTTCAACCACACAATTACATTCTGCATAAACATACTGGCAAAAAGCTGTAGGACTTCTCTCCAAAGAGCCGACTGGCAAGCCGTAAGAGATAGGGAGCATCACTTTGGTTAATATCTGTAGTCAGAGTCTGAAATCTTGAATGAATATCTTCGACCTTGTCAAAATGAAGTGTCTGAAATAAATGAAATGAATCAGCTGCTGCTAATCCAGTCTTGAAAGAATGTACAGTATAGCTGTAGCATGTATCTGGACAGTCAGGTAGCTAGGTTGAAAATGGAAAAGAAAAAAAAGAGGCTGGAAGCTGCTTAAAGATTTCAGTAAGTCTGCGAAGGAATAAATTCTTTTGTAGTGTTAGGTTGCCTGTGTCAGTCACTTGTATTAAGCTACTGCTTTATATTTAGTCACAGCTGAAGCCATTGATTATACTCCAAAGAGTCCTATCTGAGTGGTGCCTGCATGCCTCCCCTCCATGGACCATTGGGCACTAGGATTCGTTCCCAGGTGGGAAACTGAAAAGACAAGCGATGCTATAAGGACATCTCAGCTTTCTTGCTTCTCCCTTTGGCCCAAGAGAACCTCTGTTTTTGCTCTTTAGAACATATAATGAAGCCTTATATAGGGATTATGTGACCACTCAAGGAAGATGTGCTCCTAAAATAGCCTAACACAGTTGTCTTTTATGATTTAATGAAAACATAACTGCGTTCATATACACCTGCATAATCTTAAAATTAAATCCATTGCTGCAGTTTCTCTTTACCAGTACCGTCTTTCCCAGAGGCAAGCTGGCTAGCCAAGGATTATAGACACGACTATGAAAGCTATCAGACTTCATTGACAGAGAAGACAAAACCAAGGCAGGGACATCTGCATTCAAATTTAAATCACATTTCTCAGCATGGATGACTGCTGTCGAACACGCACAGAACACAAAGGAAAAGTCCTCATTTTATTTCACTGTTTTGGGTCAGGTCTTACTGCCTACACTGAAGCTGTGTTGTACATATGAATAGTTGAGCACTGAAGCACTCCGCAAGAGGATTATAACCACAGAAACAAATTTCTGTATGACTGCAAACAGCCCTTGACAGCTATCAGCCACTGCCTCCTCAATTAGCTAAGCTTTCCTAAGTAAAGCATTATGGTATGAGAACATGCATTACTGAAGATCATTGTGTTGAAATGCACATCTTTTCAAAGCTCTTTTTGTATTATTTCTACTCTCAGTAGGTCGATCCTGGGTGGGGCTGTCAGTTTGGAATATGTGTGCAAAGTCTGTTTGTATAAGTAATGAGAAAATAATTTTATTGTCCTATTCAGTAAGCACAGCACTGAGTAATAGTATAAAACAGTTCCTCCTAAAGTCCAAAATACAAAGGTGAAATTAATCATAGACAAATACATCACGATCACTGCAACCAGAATTCTCATATGCTCCTTCACACTGGTGGGCAGCAGCTTAAAATAACAAAAAGCAGTAGTGACTGAGCTCCTCTTGTGCAGGAGGCCTCAGAGGAAATTAGCACACTCCTGTACACCATTTTTGCATTTTGTAATCAGTGCTGTGAAATCCTCGACTCTTAAAAAAAACTAATTTAAAATACAGATGCTATTTGCTCCAGATTTCAAGCAGGCTGTTGAACGTGGAAGGGCTGATGAACTGAGTTCACAGCAAAACCATTCACAAAAGTGAACATGTTAAACCATTTATGCAAACTATGCCTGGCTAACATAAGACTATGGTAAGAATAGGCATGTGGGCTCAGCTCCTCAAAGATACTTGAGCGCCTACTTCTTACTGCAGTCTTAGATATCCAAAGGTCCTGACAATGACAACTACCTCATCAAAGCAGATCCATATAACAGGCAATATAAAGAGTGTATTAAAGACACATATTTGACATATATCTGATGTTATCATTATGGCTACCTCTCCAAGAACTTAAGAGCACGTTTATATGTATCCTAAATATGAATGCTTTCCTATATCAAGGATGCATTCCCATCATTTACCAAAACCTGGGGCCTAGCACTAAGATAACATCATCATGTATTATCACAGTTATCATACTTTAAATATAAGATTTTATTATTGCTTTTGTATTTATTAAAGTGTATTTTGTAAGAAGTGTACCATTACTAAACCTGCATTTACAAAACAACAGTTCTTTATGGAAATGTCTCATGAAAACTAATAAGGCCTTGCTGCTAGAAACTCTGGTCAGTTTAAATTGAGGCTGACTAATTAGTGAAATACTTCACCAATTAATTAGTGAAATTAAATGAGAAACAAGGGCCATGGCAAAGATGGAAAGAGGGCTTTGAAGCAGAGCAGGCAGAAGATAGTGGCAGAAAATAGATCAAGGAAGACTCAGTGAGCATGAGAAAATCTTGTCATATTTTGCCATTCTTTCATTTTCCCTCTTCTAAAACTTACGATTTTAATGAAAGAGAAAACTTTTTGCTAACCTTCAGCACCTGGGCCTCTGTATTACCTTTGGCCCCTAGAAGGACCATTGCCAGAGCAGCAGAAATACTGGCAGGAGAGAAGAAAACATTTCCTGTTGGGTTGGTCTCATTAACTCTCCTGAACAGACTGAGTGCAAATCTGCTGTTTGCATTACTCAAGTTTTCCATGGTTTCAACTGAAAAATAAAACATTCAGTAAGTAATCCAGGAAACACTACAAAATCCAACGCTTTGTGAGTCACAGAGTAAAGATGGGATTTATAAAATGTGCATCTAAGTACAGGAATAGCAAGAATTTTGCTGTCAATGCATCATCTTCTTCTTCAAAAAAGTAGTGCAGTCCCAGTCACACTAACTTTAAAGACATTATTTCAAAAAATTCCTTGCCTTCCACCTTGAAATTGGAAGCGTGTGTACTGGCAGGATTGTAAATTAACCTTTCAATTCCACAAATCCAACATACTCAAGACAGCTCAATCATGCAGTTTGGTTCCCATTCTTTCACATAAATCCTATATGGAGGATATCCATAGTAACTGCTAGCTAATAAGGGAGAAGTACATACCTTTTGGCAAGTTGCCTGCCTTCAATGAACAAACCATGCCACATTAAGATGCCAATCCCGCCAAAGGCTTAAGTGAACACTTATCTTTACCAGTGTCAAAAAATATGTGAATCTTAACAGGATTGTGTGTAAATCCTAAGTGTATGGACAGAGAGCCTGGGTTTTGGATTAACTGAAGCCAACGTAACTGCTAGTGAAAGCACAAGTGAAATGCAGACCAGGTGAAGCTTCGGGGTTGACAGGGCACAACCAGAGCACGGATTCATGTCGGTGAGAGCCTCCCTACTAGGCATTTGAAACTGGAGTAGAAGGTGTGAGGGCTGAGTTTGCACTGCAAAAATCTACACAAAGGCTGGCAACAGTATCACAGAAGCGCAGAATGGTTGAACTTGCAAGGGGCCTCTGGAGATCATCTAGTCCAACATCCCTGCTCAGGCAGGGTCCTCTAGAGCACATTGCCTAGGATCATGTCCAGACGGCTTTGGAACAGCTCCAGGGAAGGAGACTCCACTACCTCTCTGGGCAACCTGTGCCAGTGCTCTGTCGCCCTCACAGGAAAGAAGTTTTTCCTCATGTTCAGATGGAACTGCCTATGTTTCAGTTTCTGCCCGTTGCCTCTCATCCTATCACTAGGCACCACGGAGAAGAGTCTGGCCCCATCCTCTTGACACCCTCCCTTCAGATACTTGTACGCATTGATCAGATCCCCCCGAGCCTTCTCTTCTCCACGCTGAACAGGCCCAGCTCTCTCAGCCTTTCCTCGTGAGAGATGCTCCAGTCCCTTCACCATCTTTGTAGCCCTTCACTGTACTCACTGAAGCAGCTCCATGTCTCTCTTGCACTGGGGAGCCCAGAACTGGACACAGTACTCCAGAGGTGACCTCATCAGGGCCGAGTAGAGGGGGAGGGTCAGTACTGGTGCAGGGGGTTATTCCTCCCTAGGTGCTGGCCTCTGCACTTCCCTTTATTGAAGTTCATAAGGTGGCCCTCTACCCATCTCTCCAGCCTGTCCAGGTCCCTCTGAATGGCAGCGTGGCTCTCTGGCGTATTAGCTACTCCTCCCATTGCTGTATCATCAGCAAACTTGCTGAGGGTACACTCTGTCCCGTCATCCAGGTCACTGATGAACAAGGTGAACAGGACTGGACCCAGTCTTGACGCCTGGGGGACACTGCTAGTTACAGGCCTCCAACTAGACTTTGCACCACCGAGCATGACCCTCTAAACTCTGCCATTCAGCCAGTACTGGTCTATACTGTAAAATCTTCCTGCCTGCCCAGCTAAGATGCTTCTCTCTGCTTGCTTGCAGTGTGACTTTCAGATGTGGCTGTTTCTTTGCAAAGTTTCATTTTAGACACTGGCACCTTGTGCATCTGCCTTGAGAAATCAGAGGGGCACCCCAGTAGCATCATTACCACTCAGCCACACGGAGGTCATACTGGAACCTCGTTATTGCTGGTACAGCCTTTCCACAGGCAATCATCTAAAACATTATCCGAGTCAGCTGCCTGACAGATAAAATGCCACTATCTTTGCAACTATCCTTTATCTAGCTCCCTGCTAGAAGAGACACGCTTTACAACAAAAAGCATTGTTTTACACTTACACACACACATACGCAATTCCTAGGCGTTTTGCTGACATGCAGCGCTTTATACCCCCTCGCCGCCCTCCGGCTGCCCGAGCAGCGGCCGCGCAGACACGGCCGCGGCGGGG